AGGGCGGTAATTTGGGAAAAAGGAAGGAAACCAGAGGGAGGGAGGACAAGAGAGAGTAATGGGGAGTGAATATGATCAAAGTATATCATATACATATATGAAAATGTCATAATGAAACCATTATTTTGTAAATTAATGTACACTGATAAAAAATAAATTAGTCAGCCTTCTCAAAATAAAAGGCGCTATCTCATACCCTATCAAGAACAGATCCTTGTGTGAGATCATATAATGGCCCAGGTAGAGTTAAAATAAGAGTGGCAACCTGGTTTGATGTATGACTTCCACACTATGTTGTATTCTAACTCACATGCACTCACTTTAATTATTATAACACGAACTTATGTATTGTTTACTTATCTTGATAATAAAAGAACTCACAGTGGCTAATAAAGATACATACTAGGGAACAAAATAAAAGGAAATTTGGGGGGAAAGTTATAGATACGATCTTCAGAGTTGGACCCTGTGTTCCCAATGCAGGATCATCCTTTTGTTGTTAATGATGTGAAACCAGCTAAAAGGTGTCAACAACAGTGCATTAAAAATTGCTACAGGGATGGAAATTCATTTCAGATTCAGCAAACAACACTTCAAATTGTGTATATTAAAGCAAAAATATATCAAGAGCATCTAATGCTGCATGTACAAGGTCATCTAGTTTCTCTGAAAAATCCATCTGTAATAAATATTATAGAAATATTTCAGAAATATTATAGAAAACTTTATAAACTACCTTAGTAATAAGACAGTATTGAGATATTATTGGCTACAGTTACTTGTAATATTAGCAACAGCTATTTTATAAAATATTGAAATGTTTTTAAATGTTAAGAAATCTAACAAAACAATTTTCATTATTATAAGAGAAATACGTGCTCATGGTAAAAACGATTTTTAAAGACAGGCATCAGTAGCTCACGGTTACCTACTCGGAAGGCAAAGATCAGAAGGACCACAGTTTGAGGCCAGCGGGGCAAATAGTTCAAGAGCCCCTATCTCAAAAATAACCAACACAAAAAAGGGCTAGCAGAGTAGCTCAAGTGGTAGAGTGCTTGCCTAGCAAGTGTGAGGCCCTGAGTTCAAGCCCCAGTACCACACACACACACAAATTTTAAAACAGAATCATAATAAAGAACAAAGAAAATCCTAATTACATCACTTTTAATATTTTAGAATACAACCACTTTTACTATTTAAAATAAAGTTATGGATATTTTAAATTATACAGCAAAACTAGCAGTAGATAAAACTTTCATTTATGAAAATATTGAAAAGGGAATCTTTTTTCCTTTTCTAATCATTGTTTTCCTTAATATCTATATATTTAGTTATCTTTCTATATATCATACACTTTCTATATATTCTTAATCCTAAAACAATGTTTTGTTCAAGGAAAAGATCATCAGAACAAGGAACCTACATATCAGAACATAGCACTGACTCACGAAGATACAGAGATGGTCCTACCTAAATACAGGTGAAGCTATGCTCAGAATGTTATATTAAAAGATTCTCTATATCTTCATTTTTTAAAATCTACTTATTACTTGGGTATGTATTTTTCACTTCTAATGATTAGGTTTGAGGGTGGAGTAGATTAAATCCTTTTAAAGTAACAATGTCATTTATTTTTGAACTCATATAATTTATAGTATTTATTGAACAAACTAGTTTATTAATCATTCTTTCTTCCAAGTAACATGTATATGACAAAATACCACAAATTCCATTTTATAAATGAGGAAACTAAGACTTCAAAGACAAATGGTAAAACATCTTTGGGCAGTCCTTTCATATTATTGCCACCCTAACAAGAAAAAGAATGTTTAAGCATATTTAGCACACTAAAGTAAGGAAGCAAGTTAATCTCAGAATCATAGCTCATCTCAACATCTATCTGCTCTGAGTTCAAAATCCAATACCACCAAATAATAATAATAATAATAACCCTCAACATCTGCTTGCTGACTGTCTTTAATCTCAAATGATATCTTCATGAATAACTATTCCTGGGAATTGAACTATCAGAAGTAATGGAACTCTCCTATATTGAAAAACACCAAATTTAGCCAAAAATCTGAATTTAAACAGATTTGGTAGGAGAAAATTGCTATATTAGAAAACACTTCTTCAATGGATTAGTTCTGTTTAAGTTGGAACCAGTGATCTTTAAGTTGTAATGGCAATAAAACAGTACTCACAAAACAGCAAAACAGCGATACTACTTTCTGGACACTTCCTATGTGAAGGAATCATATTGAGCACAAAGACTATAAAATCTCGTTTAGTCCTCAAATCTAGATGAACAGGGAAAAACAAGTCTGTGAATTTATTTATCAATGAAAATAATAGGGTTTTGGAACATTTAGTATCCTATCTAAAGCTAAACAACTTACGAGGGCCAGGATTTCAGCCCAGGTTTCATTCATTAGTTGATTCTAAAGTTTTTCAGTATTGTGCCACTTTAGAAACAACCATACAAGTAACAGAATCCTTATATGATAGTATACAGCATTCCTATTCTTAATACACATTAATCTAAAGGAGTAGTTTCAAAATAAATATTACTTTACTGTGCAAACACAAATTAAAATTTATCAAAGGAAGTTAAGTGCCTGTCCTAGCATTGCACATGAAATGCTCCAAGAACCCAAACCAGAATTTGCCTGATTGAATTTCCTTCAGTCTATGACAAAGCCTTTCTTTTCTACTCTTCCCCTTCAAAGGAATTAAAAGAAAAAAAAAAAAAAAACCTCAGAGACTTGAAAAAGCTATTCAAGAAAAACTTAACAAAAATGAATTAAAGTAGTAACAAGGAGACCATGCCCCAGAATTTCAGTTTGATTATAGACTAAGCTGCTAAATTTGGGCTTATCAGACCTTAATTAAAGACACTTACAATATCAAAGAAAAAGATATCAGAAGGAAAGAACTGAAGTAAAGACCTAGGGTAAGAAAAAGAAATAAAACTCCAAGAAGTTTTACAAGGAAATGTACAAACAAAGGTACACAGGTTTGAAAGCTTTTGTAAAGAAATCAGCTCAACATACTGGTGAAGAGCACAAGCTTTGGCTCCAGGCCAAGTGGGCGTACAGAAACCTCTGTCATGGACTGGTTGAGTGACCTTGGGCAAGTTACTTTTCTTTAGTTTTCTCATCTCTACACTAGGAATACTACTACTACTGTCTCAAAGGGCTATGGTCAGGATTAAATGTTGTTAATCCTCATTATAAAATTTAACACTGTAAAACTTAACACTGAGCTTGGTATGTAATTGTTATCACGAGGAAAAGCCAGAAGAGGAAAATGCAAATAAGCATGGCTTCAGGTACAGGACACCTATGGGTTTTTTTTCCATCTATATTTACATTCTAAATTAAAAGAATCAAACTTTGATCCCAAATATATTTATAATATTGAAAATTTTATTTATGATACCTGAAAAGTTGACAGGAGTGTTTGCTTGAACTGACCTCAATTTAAAAGGCATATTTCAACTCATCCACGATGCCACTGGCAAACAGAGGGCAAGAGTAAATACAAACTTCAGCTACAAACTTCAGCTATAGAACTATAAAACATTTAGATTTTGATTTCAAATTAACTCTTGTCCCTGGTAAGTGTTGCAGTAAACTGAAGCAAAGTCTGGTTTTGAGATATAGAATACTATTTTATTCTTTATTTTAAACCTTTCTTACACATTTAAAAATTATACAGGGGTTCAAACAACCTCAATAAAATGAAAACATTTCTACTAGCGAATCTCTGAAGTCAAACCACCAATATGCAAACATGGTTGGCTTCTATGTTGAAAAGTCATAGGCACATTTCATTAGATGCATTTCAGAAAACAAAAAAAAAATCATAAAAATACTCAATAGTTTCATATTAAAAATTTCTCAGTCTGGAAACTTATGGTGGAAAAAGTAAGTATAGATATTATACTGTTCATACTTGTTTCACTACTGATTCCCCAAATGTCATACATCCAAACCCCTGACAATTCATTGCACAATCTCAGGTAGTACACTAAAAAATAAGTTAATCTCTGCATTTGAAAACAGTACAAAATAAAATACTGACAACTTTTATCTGTATTTGATAATTAAGAGTATTATATTCTCAGCAGCACTAGGAATGCAGCTTCGTCTAATATCAATATCTAAATAACAACTGCACAAAAGTATTTTCCTTTTAAAATAAGCTTTTTTATATGTGTCTCCCAGTGTTGACAACTTAAACAACATTGACCTATGTATTGAGCTAAAAAATATTAGGCACAGATTACATAATTTACATTTTCTTTGCTGTAAAAAATATAGTATGTGCAAATGCATATCACAGAAAACTAGTGAACACAATAGTGAGCTATTATAGACTTAACACAAAAAGTTAATGTATTACATTTTTTTAAAAAGTAGCATTAAGAGTGATACATCACTTATTACTGGGTGAATATCCTATATGTGCATTAGAATTATTTGTGGATTTTATTAAGGGAAACAAACCTCTACTACAGCAAAAGGAAAAAGAAAAGACACTGTGTTAGGCACATGAACTAACTTCAAAGAAACCAGATATTTAACACAATCTCCTCAACAGGCTACTAGATTGCTTTGTTGGAAGGAATAAGTTATTTAACACTAGGATTGCCTTATATAGTAGATTTTTTGATTAGTTAAAATACTTCTGGAGTAAAGTACCAAAGGATTCAAATGAAAAGAAATAGAAAAAAAACAGCAGGTTGTTAGGAAAAGGAGGAAAGCGAAATTCATGTTACCCAGGAGAAACAAAAACACTGTTCTGTTTTGTTTATAGCAGACAGTCTGTGTTGAAGAGATTATAAACACATAAACAAAAAGATTGTGTGACAAACAATAAAATGTAATGCTTACTGCATATCTTCCATGAAGAAACCATTATGGATTGTAGAAGAATGAATCTAAAAGTACACTTTGATACAAAAGGTTATACTTGGCCACATATATAATATGTAGCATGTTTATATAAAAGGCAATTTATGCCAATAATAACTCACACACACACAAAGAATAAGAGACATGGAAAGAGACAAAAAGAAAAACAAAAGACAGAAGCAGACAGTACAAGAGAAACAGAGATGCCAAGAGGCTTGCCCATGTCCTGTATATTTGAAGTATTTTTTCATCCTCAGTGCTGAATTTTTCCTATTACTGCACACATATTCAGATGCTATGTTTCTTTCATGAGATTACCAGCTATGTATCTTTTCCTTTAGTTTTTTCCATGAAAGAAAAAAAAATCAAGATCTTTAGTCTCATCCTTCATTTCATAGTCAACTATTCATGTAAATATTTCTGTGGTGGCAAATTTCCAGATGAATCAAGAATACAATCCAGCACGTCTGTCAGATTACATTTGATTTACTACCACTTCTCTTCAAATGGAGCAGGAATTTGCCCGCTTCCTAGGTTTGGGGTCTTGTGCCTCCTGATCCTTCACACATATACAAGACATACACATTGTCTCAGAAAGTCTTCGGAGACCCAGCCGGAAAACACTGTTGGAGAGGCTGTATATCACACAGTTACAAAAACTATTACTTATAGCAAGCCAGGTGGTTAAGAAAGACAGTGTCGAATTGTCCAAGACACGGGAGCTTTCGAGAAGAAAGTAAATAATATATGGGAGCCACAGCATATAAAATACACTGGTTATCCTAAATAAAACCATAGCATAACGACGGTCCGGGCTGTGTCCTGTCTCTCTAGAAGCATTTACCTCATGGCTAGGAAATCGGGCCCTTCGATCATTTATCTCTTTGGTGTGTTGCCGGCAAATTTTGAAAATGTGGAAGTAAGTGAAGCAAACAACAAAGGCAGCAGGAGCATAAAGTAAACAAACAATAAAGCCAGTAAAATAGGCACTGGTGAGCCAAGAGGTGGCACACCATTCAAAAATGTCACCATGGTAACCAGGTTTCCCCCAACCAAAAAAGGAAGGCAAGAAAATTAGGCAGGAGTAGATCCAGATCAAAATAATGCAAATTCTCAGGCGACAAGGGGTGACCAGTTGATTGTAGGAAAGAGGCTTGGTTATTGCAAGATAGCGATCCACACTGATACAAGCAAGGCATGCCATAGAAACGCTTTTTAGAACTGAGATAATATATCCAAAAACCTGGCAAGTCAGTGACTCATGGACACCTGTGGAGTAGTGGAGAAGGGAGAGAGTAGGAACCAAGCAGCTAACTCCAACGAAGAGATCAGCATATGCCATTGTCTGTATGAAATAGCTGGTAGTATAATGATGTAACAGTGGAGCACAATGAAAGACAAAGATAACTGTTAAATTCCCAGCAATGATTAGAAATGTCAGCAAGACGATAACAACTGTCTCGAAGATACAGACATCCTCTGCGCTGTAGTGACCAAATCCAAGTGGGCAGGAATGACGCTCGGACACATTCACAATGCCGCTGCTCATGTTCAGGATCCGCCATTCAGTCCACTTGGATTCATTCATGGCTTGGAATTAAGAGAACTTGAAGTCTTGACTCCAGCAAGCAGGTGCCTTCCAGCATCTGTTAAACACTGAACATGATCACCTCAGAATCTGCTTCAGTAGACAATGTCAGTGCTTCTGTTACAGCTCAGTGTTCCAGAGCATGCACAGGTCTCTTCATCAGCCTTAGCTCACCAGTGACACATCTCAGCTTTGGGGGATAGGGAGGAGGGTAAGCTAGAAAGGTGAAAAAAGGTCTCTTATTAGCTCTCTTGCGTGCTCCCGAGAAACTTTTTTTTGCAGACAGGAGACACTTCTAGAGAAAATGGATTTATTACCTTGCTCTATGAAAAAATTAAGTCTGTAAAAAAGAAATCAATTGCCAAAGGAAGAAAAGCTTCTGTGGACTGTTTTTTTCTCCTAAGATCTTAGGGATCAACTAGAAAGAGAGAGAATAAAAAAAAAAAAAACCAGTCTTAATCGTCTCAAGCTTCCTGCTTCATTTATGATGAAAAATGCATTCATTTTTTAGAATTTATGTAATTAAGAACTCAGAAAGCTAAGAAAAAAGTTCATATGACAAAGAGTATCCCTGGACTCTTCAGATTTGATGCTGATGGGTTAACTTTATGATCCATTTTTCTCTCATTTTTTTAAAGGTAAGAAAACAACTCTATCAAAGTTAATAACAAAAGACTCAACACTATACAAGCACGAAGGAGCAGAACAGGGGTAAAAGACTACAGTTTGCCCTATAATGCTCATGAGAAAAAAATGTATTTCCAGTTGAGAAGATAACATAAAATCTATTAGTGGATTAACACCTGAAAATGTGATAAATTTCTGAAGTTTTAATTCTGCATTCATTTTTAAGTATTTAAATGAGAACAGTTTTAGTCCATTACAGTTACTGGTGCTACTAACAGCACTGTAATTTATACCTCTTCCCTTTCAAAATGAAATCTTTTTCACCATTAATTTCTGTATCTATAACTGAAAATAACTTTCATTACTTGATATGCCACCCTTCTTACAATGGAGCATGATAATAAAATACATTGCTCAAAGTAATTTTTCACCTTTGAAACCATACCCTATCTCATATATATGCAAATATAGATGAAATGTAGACAACAGAAACTTTCCTATATTATGAGCTTCTTTGACATACTGCCATTATTTATTACTTAAGCATTTCTAGTAGGCTTCATATTCTATTTTGCTATACGTTCTCTGTTTCTACTATATGATTAACACATTAGGTCATTATTTCAACTAAATCTTCTGAAAGTGAAAAATTACCTTATTTATTATATTTGCAGTTTTGTAGCAGCCATATGTTAAGAACATGCCTCTTCTTTTTCTGTATTCTATTTTGAGCAAATGCTCAATTAAAAAGGGGGCCATTAGGTAGGCTGTGAGATAGTCTTGTTTTAAAATACCTCAAAACATCAAGATGAGTTTAAATCCTCAAGTTTGAAATACTGAAATGCTGGCAGGATAGAATCCATCCAAAAGGTTTCCAAGGTCATTCTGGTATCAGGTTAATATTTGCCAAAGTCTTTTTTTAAAGTACAGGCATTTCAGAGAGTCTCTTGTCAGTCTTTGTTGTCATAGCTTTTGAAGAAATAGCATGCACTAGAAATAAAAACATTCCCTTCAGGAACAATGCAGCAGTTTAATAGAAAGCATTCTTCTGAAAGTTATTTTCTTGTGCACCACCACATTATTCAGGGAAGTCTTTCTTCTTTTATAAAGCCACAGGATATTCCTCCTTGTACATTCTTAGTTTCACTTATCACAAAATAATTCTCTTGTTACAGGAATAAGGTAATGCTTCTCACCTACATTCACTCTTAATCAGATGCTAGGCTGGGCTGCTTGATTTAGAAGTCCGATTTACTATGATGCAGTTAACAGGATGCTGTCGGTAGAGTCTTCACAATTTCTCAGTATTACTGCCTGCACCTGAGCCCAAGCCCTGCTCCTCCTCCTCATCCTGAGCTGATGCAGAAGAACTCACCATCAGAAAGGTGACTCGGTCCTCCTGCCCCAATCAACAGCACAGCCAATGGCTACTGCAGCTGAAACTGTCACTAGGTAACAGTTGCCAGGCACATGCAGGCTTAAAGACTTTCTCAGCAAGCTCCGATCAAGATTGACAAAAGAAGACAATGGAACTGACCACTCCTTCTAATATGTTAATGGCATTTATGAACTTCTAGAGATATTCTCCTTATGCCATTTATAAGGATTATTTCCTATAAACAGAACAGGAAAGAAAATCTGGCATACACCTTTAAACTCCATAGAGAAACTACCCACAAGGTACTATGACACTAAAAAGTCAGCAGTAATCTAATGCTCACTGGCAGAAAAAAACCTGATTAATTATTAAAGTCATATAACTCTTCATGAACTCAAGGGATATTACTACTATTTTTCTCTATAAAACAGTTATATTTTGATTAGTAGAAATTAAAAGTCATTTACTAATCTCTCCAATTCCTACCATGCCCACACAAAACTTATGAGTATGAGGTATTTAACTATGCAAACAAAGCATGAAACTAACATCACTATGTTAAAATCTATCCAGAGAAATACTGGAGATCAAATGTAATCTCAGAAGAGTACAAGCATTAGAAAAAAAAATAGAAAGATTGTTTAGCCCACTTTTTAATCCTAATATGCAAAAAGGGTCAAAGGGTCAAAGAAATTTGTCATAATGCTTAAGTTACCCATATTCAAGTTAGAAGAAATTTTGCTGAAATATTTGATAGAAACTAAAAACATTTTTAACTTAGTACATACAATTGTTCTATTTTAAAAAATATTTCTCATGTACTCATCGCTTTTCTTAAAAGTGACTTAGAACTAATTTAAAAATTATTTCAGAATTAAAAGAAACCACGGAAGTTAAGATGGAAGTTGAAGATAACTGATATTTGTATGAAGCATGTTTTATGTGCCAAGCACTGTGTTATGTGCTTTTATATTTTTTCTCTATAAAAATCTTAAATGTCTGTGAAGTAGTTACAATAATTACTTTCCAAATTAAAAAAAAATGGGTACTAGAGAGGCTTGCCTACAATTACAGATGAGAAACTGCCACTGCAATAGGTTAAAACTACCATTTGTAACACTGTAGTGCTAAACCCCAATCTCTACGTTCTGATGACAGCTGTCAGTCAGTAAATGTATGAGAATTACTTCAGACTTCATAAAAATGATTTATGAAAGAACAGAAAGTCTATTCTTTTCTTCTACGTTGACCTGACTTTCAGGATGATAATGATATTGCTAAAATCTGGAGGCTTTAGGTGAAATACAGAATGATAGTTTTATTCCTCATTACCAGAAATATTTATAAGATGTAAAAATAATAATCTTGACATGAATACTGTATTTGGGTTTGAAAGCAAGTATTTAAGTTTAATTCAAAACAGCTATAAGGTTCTATTTTACAGAGGGACATTTTAATTTAAAGAAATACTAAAGGCATTAAAATCAAACAAGTCAAACCTAACATTTTCCACTACAATAAATTTAAAATAAAATTCCTTTTGATAAATATTCATGAATGTAGTTAGTTCCCACATTCCATATAAAGAAAAGTTACATACTACAAAATAATTGGAAACTTAAGTGGTATCAATTACTAAAGCTATCTCAACTATCAAAATTTAAATTACTCTTAAAATATAGGCTTACACATTTAAAAAATAGTTTTGAATTATATTTCTAAAATTAGAAAAATAGCAACAAAAAAAACCACTAGACTGCTTTAGTTTGACATGTTTATTCCCCCCAAAAAATCACAGGCAAGGATTTAAATCTAAAAACACTGCAAATAATCCATAATTACACAAGCTTCCAAAGATATATGATAATGTGAGACAGAGTTTAAGAAGCAGTACCTATGACCAACTAAGCCTCCTGCTTTCCTTCCATCAGCTTAAAAGAAAGGCTTCTGTAGTTCTAGTAAGGTACCTTTCTTATTTTTAGCAATTGACTTTACTAATCCCTGACTTTCTTCTTTTCTATTCCTTTTTCTAATCTTGTTATAATGAGAACTAATTTATCATGTGAAGCTCTAATAACAAAAGAGCACTAATATCATAATATCATTGATATTATGTAGTTAGTATTATTATTATGTAGTTATTATATAGTTATTATTATTATCATTGATATTATGTAGTTAATATTATTATATTATTGATATCATAATATCATAATATCATTGATTTCAGTACTAGGCATCATTCGCCTCATTTTAGGGGTCATTAGGTGTTTTATTATTACTGCTCTTTTTATAATCATTACCAACTATTTCTCTCTCCTTTCAACTGATGAATGCTCATACTGAAATATTTAAGAGGAATCGTTATTTGGGATTACTTCACAATGACTTCTAATAGCTAAAACTGTATAACTTTATTAGATACACTATAAGCATGTGAGTTTTTAATTTAAACCTTAGATATGTTTTATATGTTCTTTTAAATGTATTATTATCTCATTATTAAATATCCAATCAATTCAAGTAACTACTCAGTAGGACCTAGACAGCAAAGCAAAAGAGGGACATCAGCTGTTAAAGACAAGTAGGATAAACAGTAGGCAATGACTACAAAGAAACTCTATAAGCAATATATTATCATAAAAGCAAATGATTAGAGACTAAAGTGAACAATGTTGTCTTTTATTATATTTTAAAAGGTATCAAAGGGTATATGCATTCAGACATTATTTCCTCAACTTCCCCTCTCATCTGTTAACTCTTCTGAGTCTCCACTGTCATTACTGTAGATAAGCTAGCATCACCTTATACTTGGACAACTGCAGGGGTTTCCAATATGATCTCTCTGAGTTGTTTATGGCTTCTCTTCAATCCATTGTACATAAAATAGAATATTCTTAAAGGTGTAACAGGTCTTGTCTGGGAAATGGAACCAGTGAGGGGAGGGGAGGATCTAAGAAAAGGGTATAGGAGAGGGAATGTGGTAGAAATATTATGTACTCAGGTATGAAAATGGAAAAATTAGATTTGTTGAAACTATTTCAAGAATGGGGGAAGAGGAAGATAAAAGAGAATGATTGAGGGAGTTAATTAAACTATCATATACTGTAGGAACTTTTGTAAATTTCACAATGTACCCCCAGTACAACAATAATATGATAATAAATGAATACCCCAAAATTCAAATCAGATTATGTCACTTCCCTACTTAAAATACATGAGGGGTTTTATACTATACTTAAGAGAAAGTCTTAAATAGTCCTATAAAATCCGGTCTTCCTATATCCATATAATCTCATTTCTCTTCTGTGTTATTCAGGATTACCAAACTGCCTTTTCCTCTCTCCATCTCATCTCCTTAATCCCCCAATCCCACATAAACTTGCTGTGATCCCAGCTGCCTCAGGATACTTATACCTGCTAATTAATGTGCTATAATCCTTCTTTTATTTAATTCAAATATAATCTTTTGGTCTCAGTTCAAATACTTCTTCCCCTGGGAAACCTTTCTTGAGTTCCCACAGGGTACCAGACCAGGTTCCACGCTTATCACAGTTTATTATTATTTATATTAGTCAGTTTTCTCTTCTTGACAGTGTACAAGTCCCATGAAGAGAACAAACATCTGTTTTGTTCACCAATTGGTCTCAAGTACCTATATTATGGAGCTGGGCACAGAAGAGGAAAAGAAAAAACAAATGTTTAATATAATTTTAATATAAGACATAAAAATAGAATGTGGAGTTTATAGGACTGAAAAATACTTAGAGCTAGCAAAAATAAAGCTCAGAATTACCAAACTTACTTGCAAACCCTTGTACAATGAATAAGCTTCACAAGAAAAAGCTGGAAAACGACCAAATTGCAGAAGGGAAAAATTAAACTACTAATATATTAAAATTAAGAGCAGAATTAGTCATCTATATCTCTACTTAAACCCAATTCAATATCACTATTTGTCTAGTGTTTTGAAAAATCATATTTAGCAAACAATAATGATTACTTATTTTAAGAATGCCAAATGCTACAAAATGCAGTAGCAATGAATTTTAAATATGTTGTCATCTACAAGGTTAAAGCAACATGGTCTAAATGCTAAAAAACAAATAAACCCTCTGAAGTGATACATATTACACTAAATCTACTGATTTAGTGACAGAGTGGGTGGTAAGGGAAGGGGTGGGGGCAGGGGGGAGAAATGACCCAAGCATTGTATGCATATATAAATAATAAAACAATAAAAGTTAAATTAAAAAAAAAAGAAAAGGAAGACATGACTGCATACATAAGAAGTACTATAAAATGTACTCAAGAGCACATTAAAACTGAGAAGTAAATGAATATTGTCAATATACCAAGTCAATATATAAAATAATTTAATTTCTATATATTTGCCACAAATAATAGAAAGTGAAATTATAAAACAATAAACCATTTACAAATGTGAAAAAACAGGACATAAGTATGAATTTAATAGAAGACCTCTACCCTGAAAATTATAGTCATTTAAGACAAAGTAAAAGATCCTAAGTAAATGAAGAGATGTATCATCTTTTACTAGAAGATTCAATAGTGTAACAAATGTCAGTTTTCCCCAAATTTATCTGTAGATTTTTTTGTTATTCCAATTAAAATCCATGCAGATTTTTTTTTAGGACTAAACAAGCTTCTGATTCTAAAATCTTTATTTTTGCTATCTAGCAGAAATAATCTTGGGAAAGAAAACAAAAATCAAAATTGGAAGGCTGGCAAACCTCATTTCAAGACTTGCTATTAAGCCACAGTCGTTAAGACTGGTATAAGAATAGACAAATAGAGCAGTAAAAAGAATAAAGGATATAAAAATAATCTCAGAATTATATGGTCAATCTGAATTTCAATAAAAACACATAGATTCTAAAAGAAAACACTCTAAAAGGAAAGTATCTTCATGACATAAGAGTAGACAAATATTTAAGATAATGAAAATAGTAACTATAAAAGAAAAATTTAATAGGTAATATTTTAAAATTCTTAACAAAAGAAATCATTAAGAAAATCAGCAACCCAAAGGACTGAGAGAAGGTATTAGTAAAATATATATCAAAGAATATATATCCCAAATACATAACTGACTCCTATAATTTGTTAATAAAAGTAAAATTAATCTAGTTGATCTCACAGACATTCTGAGTAGAATAGTGCTATTAGGGGCTAGGAAGAATGGGGAGAGCTGGAGAAAGGTTGGTCAATGAGTACTACCTTACAGTTAGATAGGAGAAGTAAGTTTTGGTATTCTACTGCCCAATAAAGCAATATATTCCTTTTAGAGGCTTGATCTTGTGCTAAGCCATGCCTCCAGGTGTACCATATAGTTCAATAAAATTTTTAAAAAGGATTTTGAATGTTTTCACCACAAAGAAATGTTGTTTCGAGAGATTAGATATGCTTATGCTAGGATTTGAACATTACATAATAAATACAAGTGTCAAAGCATCTCACAGTGCCCTGTAAATATGTATAATTTTTATGTCGAGAGAGAGGGAGATAGGGAGACAGAAAGGAAAGATGAAGGGGAGGGAGGGTGGAAGGAAGGAAGGAAGGAAGGAAGGAAGGAGGGAAGGAGAAAGAGA